GTGTTTGATTTCTCTAGCATTGTATCCAGGTGCACCCATTTTCCTACAAATCTTTCAAACGTGTCCTTTATAGTCATCATGTAAGATGTCACATTTTCCTTATGTAATCGTCTGTTGATGGATACACAGGCTGTTTCCAAGATTTAGCTATTAATTATGCTGTTATGAACACTGGTATGCAAGCATCACTGTAGTACAATCTTTATCACTAGTTGATATTCATGCCAACAGTGTAGGAAGTTTTTTATTTCACCACAACCATGCCAGAATTTGTTATTTTTGAATTTCCTAATGATCAACATTCTTTCTAGTTTAAGGTGGAATCTTAGTATTGTTTTAAGTAGCATTTCTTCATTGGTTAGGGATGTTGAACATGTTTTCATTTATTTGTTTAGTACTTGTACTTCTTTCTCTGTAAAGTGTCTGTTCATTTCACTTGCCCTTTCTTGATTGGGTTATTTATTTTAGCAATGGGTCAAAAGATTATCAGCAAGAGGGAGGGGGTCAGTAGAATAAATATTTAGGAAATCGAATAATCTAAATGAATGTAAACATTACACATGTCATAAACATGAGATTAAAATATCAACAACAAAAATGGGGAAGGGGATTCAGAAGGAGGGAGGGAAGAGTGAAAGGGAGGATTTAAAGAAAGAATGAAGCTCTATTATTTACATGTACCCACTTCCCAAAATGAATAAAAACTGCATGAATTGCAAAGATGCATTATTAAAAGCAAAAGAATTTGTCTGGATATATGTCTACTATTTTCTGGGTAGGTCTGTAAGAATGGAATTGCTGGGCTGCCGAGTTTTAATATTTTTTTAAAGGTTTCTTTTTTTAAATTTTTTTTTTTTTTACTGGTACCAGGGATCGAACTCACAACCACGTACTTGCAAGGCAGGCGCTTATGCCGCTGAGCTAAATCCCCAGCCCTTTGTTTAATATTTTAAGAACTTAACAAATTGTTTTTCAAAGAAGTCACACTATTTGACATTATAAACTGGAAGATACGAAGGTTCCAGTTTTCTTCTGTCCTTGCCAGCCAAATGAAATGTGTAATTTTTTAAATTTGTTTGCTGATATATAAAGAACTAAAAAAACCAGTCCTCCAAGATTTAAAGACATAATCCAAAAATGAGCATCTGAGATGAATGCATACTTCTCAGAAGAACAAACACAAAAAGCAAATAAACATGTGAAAAAATGTTCAACATCACTGGTCATTCAAGAGTTGCAAAGAGAGTCCACCTCACCCCAGAAGAATGGTTATCCTCAAGAAACCAAGCAATAACAAATACCGTAGAGCCTGTGGGGAAAAAGGGAACCCTTTTCCACTGTTGGTGGGAATGCAGACTGGTACAACCACTGTGAAAATGAGTTTGAAGTTTCTTCAAAAAATGAAGACTAGAGGTCCTATTCGACCCAGCAGGTAGAATTTCATCCTACTATAGCAATAGATATGCCCCATGTTTACAGCAGCACAATTTATAATAGTCAGATCTTGGAAATAACCTAAATGCCTATCCACTGAGAAATGGATAAAAATGATGGGGTTTCACTCAGCCATAAAGAAGGAAAACTGGAGACTTTTATAGGTAAACTGATGCAACTTGAGACCATACTCATTAGTGAAATAAATCACACACCTATGTGTAAATATTATGTTGTCTCAGCATGAGAAGCTGAAAAGAACAACATATGTATATGGAGATGAACATAAAAAATAGTTAAACTAGTTATACTACTGATTTCTCTGAGTTCACTGAAGAGAAAGATTTGTGCTGGTATTATTCAGGCAATTGTCTTGTGCTCTGGGTGAATGGTTTGGGGGTGACAATGTACAATATACCACTGTTGCTCCCTGATTGATGTGTTTTGAATTTTTTTTAGTTTTTTTTTCCCTTCTTTTTCTGTCAAAACAAAATGGATTTGGAAAAATAAAAATAAGAAAAAACTTTGTTCAAACAAATTTGAGGAAAAAGCACTGAATATTACACTAGTCTAGATATCTCTATAGGACATATGTGGAATTTTGAATGGAGAAACAAAGATTTAATGTCTAATTCTCCCAAGTCTTCTTTCCAATTAGATTCAGAAACAGCTGTACCACAGTTTCTTACCCCGTGCCTATTACCCAGGCTTTCCTATCCAATTTTAACTTTTAGACTAAGGAACTAAAAGCCTAGTGACTCGTCTGCTCCAACTCTGACCCCAGTTCATGAGATCTTATATCCCTGTCAAATTGGTATAGGAGAATGCCCAAGTTCTACACATAATTTATTAAATATGAAACTATGGACCTGCATACCCCCAATTGCTCTCTGCACAATTTTTAAATAGATTTTAAAATAGATTACTTATATTGTTTTATTTTCTGATTTTATTAAAGATAACAAGGTCCTTTAATATCTATCTCTTAATTCAATTAAAAATTTAACCGTATGAGAGCTACCTAAGTATTCCCTTTACCAGACATTATATAATCGGCCCTACTCATTACTTTCTGATTACAAGATAACAGGTTCAGAATGATCCTTTTTGCATATATTTTAATGAAGAAGCAAGACTAAGAGGACTCGGGAATTTATCCTAAACTTTAATATATTCAAAATCAGAAATTCATGGTTCAAATTCTAGTATTGTCACTATATATAAGCTCGATAAATAAAATGTTCAAGACTCTCAATTTCCTCATTTATAAAATTAGAATATAGGGGGCTGGGGATTTAGCTCAGCGGCATAAGTGCCTGCCTTGCAAGCACATGGTCGTGAGTTCGATCCCTGGTACGGATAAAAACAAACAAAAAAAAAACAACAAAAAAAAATTAGAATATATCATTCTTCAACTTTTACTCAGGCACAACTAAGCATGTAGAAATCTAATTGAATACAACAAAAGATTTACACAAACCTTCTGAAATTCATCAAGCAACAGAGTTTTCACATGCTGAACTGAGGTTAAATGTGTATTTACTCTAACAGTTGTGAATGAGGGAGGGTGTGACAGATGTTTCAACAGAGTTTCAAACTTCCTTTCTGCTGCTGCTTTGCCTAAAGTATTTACAACCTGAAATGAAAAGAACAAGTTAATGTTTTTCTTTCATCAAACAAACTGAAATAATCAGCAGAATGAGATTTGTTCCACCTAACGAAACAACTGTTCAGCTCCATTTCATGTTGGAGTTATCATTTTAGTGATAATTAACATTAAGGAAATAGTAACACTTCACAGGATTCTTGAATTGTGTTATGGTAATAAACAACATCATGTCTGACCATGACTGGTTTATAAAAAAACACTGCCTCAACTGCAAAGCATTAACAGTTTGAAAATATCAATATTTGCTGCATTTAGTCATATAAAAAAAACTGCCTCAACTGCAAAGAGTTTTGAAAATATCAGTATCTGCTACATTTATTCAAATAAATTCAAGATCTCATTCAATTATTTTTGTATGTCAACTAGTCAAAGCACTTCTGCAGAGCTGTTCACAAATATATTCAATAACAAACTACTTAGGAGCCATTTAAAATATTTGAAGTATAAACAATATTAATATATTCACTGTCATCCAAAGATTCCTCCAGGACATCAGTTTTTAATATTTTTTAAAAAATGTAACAAATACATATGGTCCATAAAAAAACTGGTTGACTAGCAAGCGTTATCTGTCAGAAATGAAGGTATAAAGACCCAAACCACCAGCTTCCCTCACAACTAACTGAAGCTTTTCAAGCACGTATTTTTTGTTTTGTTTTTTTGAGACAAGGTCTTGCTTTGTAGTGCAGTGTTGGCCTCACACACGCAGATACCCTTGTAAGTTAGCCTCCCGAGTGCATTTAGAGAGGCACTCAACAAATTATTATTTTCACCCGAACGCTGGAGCATGCGATTTAAGAGAATGGGTGTGTTTCATATGCTGGATATTAGTTAAGAGCAGAGATCTTTTCTTGTTCATTCTTGTAACTCCTTCACTGTTATGCCCACTGACAGTTTTTCTTCTTTCCTACACCGTATACCTTATTCACCTCGTTCTCAGCAGGCATTTGTTATCTGTGAGAAGACAAAGGATTTTACTCACGTTTAGACAGACAACTGGTAAGAAACGAAGGCTGTAAAAAATTTCCCGTTAGACTTAATCCATTTCGCTAGGTCGTGTAATATTTAAATTTTCGCAAATATTAAATATGTTAATCTGACCTACCTCCTTATTCATAAAGCCGTCTTTAAGATACTTCTCAACTTCAGGTCTTAAAGATATTTTAGGAAAAACAGGCATTTTTTTTTTCTTGCTTAGTTCTTCGAGATGCTGAAAACGGTAGGTTTTCTTTCCAAATTGCAGACAGCAGTGTCTTCACAATGAGTAGCTACGCACAGTATAGGGACCACCAGGCATCCAGAGAAATCGCGCCGTTCAGGTCAAGCCGCGTAAGGAAACGCGTGGAGCCCTTCATGATTTCTCGAGTTTTGCCTAATTAGAAGCGGCCTCTTTGCCTCCAACACCCCAGGCTCCCGTCCTCGGCGGATGTTCAGGGAAATACCGCACTGGATGACAGTGACACGTTGCAGAGAGTATCAAACAAAATGCTGTGTGTGTGCCTTTTGGTTAACTGAACACAGTAGCGCATCATCAGCTCCGCCGCTCCGAGTATTACATCCTGGTTTCCGATCACGCCCCCCCCTCACTTTTGCCGACAGCGACTTTAAATCAGATATTAAGGTCTTTCCCTCTTTTTAAAGACCAGGGACGCAGCTGTCGATCTAGAAAGCCACGAGAGTCTCAAAACCTTTGTGAAGGGTGACTGTGGAGGGAGCGCTCACCAGCGGAAATTTCTCACTGCCCTATCAATCCTAGCATCTCCCAGGTGCTACCCGCCCACCGGAAGTGAGACCGGAGGAAACGCCACGTCGACGGGGTGGGTGGACGTAGTGCGATGACGTCACGCGTCGAATTTCCGGCGATGGGCGGTCTTCGGAGCCCAAGGAGGCGGGGCGGAGGCGGGGCTTGGCGCTGGTGGAGACTACTGTGGGTAGGTGGGTTGAGACCAGGGGACTACGGGTCGGCGTTGGGCACAGCGGACCCGAAACAAAGGACTCTCGGCCCACTCTCGGCGCGGCGTCTCGTCTGCTGTGGCTGAGCCGTTAGGTCGAGTGTGCGCGGCCGACCGGTGCCTTCGCCGCGGCGTCTCGGTGGGCTCCTGCTCGGTCCCCACGGCCAGCGCCGCGGTGCGGGACCCGGCTCGGCGGCACCTGCTGCTTAGGGAGCCAGCGGCCCGGCCCCGTGCTCATGATGGGGCTGATTTTCGCTAAAGTATGGAGCCTCTTCTGTAATCAAGGTGAGGAGAAGAGAGCTGACCCCGCAGGGACAGCGGAGGACGGTGCTCTGGGGACCAGGGCGCCCAAGACGCCGAGATGTGGCCCGGTGGAGGGGCAGCAGAAACTCGGTGTTTCAGACCGGAGGGCTGTGCCGGGGAGCCCTGGGGTGGGTAGAAGGGGGATAGGTGAGGAGTCTGCTGTCCCAGGATCCAGACTGGGGGCTTTTGGCCAAGCCAAGCGGGAAGCACCTAATGATGCCTCGAGGGCCTTTTCTGTCTCTTTCGAAGCTTCCTCGCCTTCTCTTTAGTTTTGGCTATAGTTTGCCCGCGAGAAACTTTCTTTTTCATTTGTTTTCTCTTTAATTTTTTTTTACCGACTTGGTGTTGTTTTCCGGGCCGCTCTCTGGACCTTCACGTTCTTTCAGATGTTACCTGCTCCATAGGACGAGTTCTAGCGAGATACACGGTTTCTGGAATCATCATTGTACTTTTCCTGGTCCTATCGCCTTCTTTTCTTTTTATTGTTCTAGATGTTAAAGAAACTAAACGCTTTCGGTTTGTGTAAGGTGTTACGTAACGGTAATTAAGTTAGTCTAGAACAGGTTATGAGGCACCTGGCAGCTGCCAGTCCAAAGGGCCAAGAAGTTGTGCAACCTGTTCTGAGTCAGAATGAATTTGATGTGGGGTTTTCTACAGGGAGAAAACACCCAGATCAAAAAGGGCTGGCAGTCAAGTTTTAGGTGTTCTCTTAACAGAATAGTTTCTTAGTAGTTGAAACCAATTTTAAATTCAGCTAGCTTCTTGCCTGACACAGTGTATGAAGTATTTTTGTATGACGATACTAATTTGTTACTATTCATGTATACACACTTGTTCTGGACTTAAGAAGTGGTAAAGAGAATGTAATAGCTTTGTTCATTTTTTCTATAGATCGACAAAGACAATACAATAGTCCTCAGTTTTGTAAATAAAAATATTGTACATATATGGCAATAAAATAGATTCATATACATACACATATGTGTATACTCATGTGCAGTTTCTACAGGTAAATAGCACTTTTCAAGTGATTTCAAAGTGACCAGAGTTCAGCTTCTTGTGGCTATTTTTTATGAATTTAAATATATTATTTTTCAACAATTTATATTTTGTAATCCTTGTAATATAAATTCTTGTAGCAGAGTATTTTAATACACCATTAAAAGTATCAGTGTAATAATCACATCAACGTAACAGTGATTAATAATCACCTGTTACTGTTTTCCTAATTTAAAAAATGAAAATCATCGAAGCGTTTGATTCTTTTGTGAGCCCCATCCCATTCTCCTTTCTCTTTTATCACTGCTGTGTATCTTTTCTGCTTTGATGCTTCCTTAATTAGACTTTGAAGGAAAGAAAGAGATAAAGGGAAGATACAGAAGATAATAAGATATTCACAGGCTACTTTTTATAGTCATGTCATTGTTCAGGTCACCTAAGTCCCCATTTCTTCCTGGAATTTAACTTCCCTTTTAAAAAAGTTAGAACTAGTGGTTTTTCTACTATTTCTATTCTCCTGTTTTGTAACATTTACTAGTATTGTAGTTCATTATCTAGTCTTCAAATTCAATGTTTTGTTTTGTTTTGTTTGGTGGTACCGAGGATTGAACTCAGGACCTTGTGCTTGCCAGGCAGGCAGTTACGCTGCTGAGCTAAATCCCTGGCCCTTAACTAGTCTTCAAAATTAGGCATGGGAGGTACCAAGATTAAAAACAAAAAGTTAAAGGTGATTGCTCTCAGAGTACTCAAAGATTAGTAAATTAGACCTCAAAAAATGGAGTGAGGTAAATTATTTAACAGATGTTTGTAGAAATGCAGTGATGGCACAAGAAAGAAGTGAACCATTTTTCTCGGGTAGTTCTTGGGAGATTTTTACAGAGTAAGTCACACTTGGATTTAATAGGGCATAGGAGGCTAGAGGTACATTGAGGGGATGGTGTCAACTATTTTAGACAGGACTAATATGCAAAAGGAGTGGAAGGAAATAATTTGGTACATTTGAGGAAGCTGATAGTGGTTTAGTTTGCATAGTGCCTTACTTTGGTTGTTGCAGTTAAATGAGATTTGGTAAGGATGGATCTGGGGACCAGATCGTAGAGGAGCTCAACTGTTGACCAGGGCATTAAGCTCTGTAGAGAAATTAAAGCCATTAAAGAGATTGGTCATTGGATGTTTTTTCCAAAACAGGAGAATCAGGTGATCAGCTTCATATCTTAGTTTGTATTTTTGTTTTCTGTATCAACAGAATCAACTACCAGTCTTAGCATTTTTGTTCACCACCATACACATCTAATCCAAAGGTACTCAGTTTTGGTAGAATATTGGAATAATATGCCCAGGGTCCTGCTTTAAATTAGTGAAATGTGAATACCAACATGATTCTGGTGAGCAGCCAGTGTTAAGAACTGCTGATCTATCTTTTGGACTTCTTTCTCTTATCTTTTAATCTTTCATTATTATGCCTTTTTTGTTTTTTATTATATTATAGAGCCCCAAGCATCTACTCATAAGTTACCTTTCTAGAATAAGTGTATTATAACATGTGTTGCCTAAGTGAAGAATTTGTGTAATATTGTATTAATTTGAGGTGAGAAGGCTAATTACTTTGGCACAATTATCATTGAAGGAAATAATTTCAAAATCTAAATACCTTTCAAAACGTTCTTTTGTACGTAAGTGGTTATGTATGTATGTTTTTACAAAATGCATACTTGAGAATGTACTTTTAAACTCATCTCTCCGAAGTTTGGCTTTTTTAAAATTTCTTTTTAAGTCTCATGGGCATAGTCTTTCCTTTTCTGTGTTGTGACTGTAGTCAGTAGTCATCAGTTTCTTCTAATGTTATCCAGAAAGACTAACAAAATAGGTTTTAGTTGCAGTTCACTTTCATAGCCAAATAATAACATCTTCATATTATTATCTAATGATTTTTTTTCATTGGTTAATTTCATGTTCATCACCCTTGGCATTGATACCTGACTTTGTATGAAAGTGTTACCGTTTATTTCTTACTGCTCAAATACTGTCTTATATTTTTCCTTTTAGCTTATTCTCTAACTGCTGAACTTTTTACTGGTTTCCAGCACATTAAACTTAAACTTACTGTCTGTTATGGTTTGTGTCTAGATGTCCCCCAGAGCCTCATGGGGTTAGGCTTGTAGAGTCTGTGGCTGATTCATGATCCAATGCTGGGATTATGAGTGTGAGTGTTACATTCACTTGAGGGTGGGTAGCCTACATACAATATAAAGGACGGTCTTCTTTGTGCACTTCTTCCTTTCGCTCATCTCTTTTGCTGTCTGCCATCCTCATGAACTGTTACTACTATGCTATGAGCCATCCTGCCTTTGGCCCTAATGATTGTGGACTGCAACCTCCACAAACTGTGAGCTAAATAAACCTTTCCTTCCTTAATTTGGGGGCTCTGATATTTTGTCTCAGCAACAGCAGACAAGTAACAAGAGCACTGTCTGCTTTGTCTTCTAGAACATTATACTTTTGTAAGCCATGAGCTCATTAATTCATTTAGATTTCTTACACATCCTGTTCCTCAGAGGCTTTCTTGACTAGTTTTCCAAAAATAGCACCCTTCCCACTCTAGCTTTCATTCTGTCTTTACTGTGTTTCTGAGTAATGTTGGTCACTACCTATAATTGTATTTTACATTTATGTATTTTTTTTTCTTTTAGTAGAAATAAACTCCCTAAGACATGATCTTTGTGTCATTCACTGTTGCATTCCCTGTGCCTTGATGCTTTCTGTCAATTTCTTAGTTTTTTTAAGTATAAAACTGTATATCAAAGTCATACATACAGATAAAACTAAAAGTGCTAAAGTCTTGAAATGCTGTATATCAGTTATATTTCTTTCAATGCTTAACTTTTCTTTCAGTGTCACGTACATATTTCTTGAATACTATGCCTGTCTGGAAATTGTAAACAGTTTGTCTTGTGATAGAAAAGAAGTGCTTTTATGTCTGTTACCCTTTTTTCATTATCCTAATATAAATTTGATTTTGTCTGGACTCTGCCTTTCCATTATTGTGGCAATATTGCTAGTGTGATATATTCCTTTTCTTCTCTATTTCTCCCCAGAGTAAACAATTATGACATTGTGTCAGTTTTCTTTGTACATTTGATTAAGAGATTTCACAATATCCCAAAGCCTTCCTGTAACAGTTTTTCCCACCATACACCTAAGCGATTGTGTATCTTTCCTCTTTACACCCTGTGTCTTCCTTTCTGGTCCAAACCCAACATAGCTTTTTGTGCTCTGTACACAGCTATTCTCTGCTTGTCCTTGCTCTTATCCTAGGAATTTCCTATGCCTTTCCTCTTTCATTAAACCATGTCTTCCGCCTTCTTTATATTTAACATTGGTGGAACACATCCTTTAGAATTTCCTGAGAGTGTATCCGTTAGTGGTAAATTTTATGGCAATTCCAAATGTCTGAAAATATATTGATTTATCCTTTTACGTGAGTTTGGGCTAGTTACACAATTATGAGTTGGAAAACACTACTTTCAGAATTTTCAAGAGACTATTTTAACCTCCAACTTGCAGTGTTTGTGGTACAGACCTGTATCATTCTTGACTTCTTTCTACTATATTTTAGAATTTTCTATTTTATACCCAGGAATTTTACAGGGCGTACCTTGAATTTCTTTTGATTTTTATGAACACACTAGATCTTTTCAGCCTAAAGATGTACCTCATTTAGAAATTTTAAAAAAATTATCAGAATTTTTTTCTACTTTTCTGAAAAATACTCTTGTGGTAAATTGTCTATTAAAGACTTTTTTAATATATTCTAGTATATTGTCTTTTTTATTGTTACTACTGTCTTCCAATCTTCCCATTGGATATTATGGTTTAGCTACTGTATTTTTTACTTGCTATTATTTTATAAATGCTGTCTTCTCTTCCGTTTCCTTATAGTTTCCCTCTAATTTTGTTTTTGTAGCTCTTTAGGGTTTTCTTTC